GAGGGAGAACGAGGGAGGGAGAGAAGGAGAGGGACCGAAGAAGGAGGCAGAGAAGAGAGAGGGCGAGGGGGATGGAGAGAGGAGAGAGAGAGAGAAGGAGAGGGAGGGAAAGAGGAAGGGAGATGGAGATGAAGAGGGGCAGAGAGGATGAAAGAGAGAAAGAGGAAAACAGAGGGAGAAGGAGAGAGTGAATGAAAAGCGAGGGAGAGGTGAAAGAGAGAATAGAAAAAGAGGGGGAGGGAGAGAACGGAAAGAGGAGTAGATGATGTGATCGTTTCATCACTTCTTTCTCGTCTCTGTTCTTCTCAGATCTTCTTCTTCTTCTAATTGTTTCTTCTTTTCTTTTCTTTCCCTCTGTCGTTTTATTTCCAGTCGTCTTTTTTATTCCCCTTTTTCCACAGCGCCTTTGCTCTGAAAACCCACGTTTTCACCCACCCCCCATCCTCCACTCCATCTCTCCATCTCTCCATCTCTTCATCCTCTTCTCGTTTAATCTTGTCGTTTCTCCGGCGCCGTTTTCCTCGAGCGAGATCAGAAGAAAGAGGGAGAGAAAGAGCGAGGGATGGAGGGATGGAGGGATGGAGAAGAGGAGGAGGAGGAGGAGGAGGAAATGGGAGGGCATCTGATTGAAACTGATCCTGACCTGAGTGTGAAAATGTGGAGGGTAAAGAGATGAGAAAAGAGGAGAGAGAGATGGAGGGATGGAGAAGAGGAGGAAAGAGAGGGAGAAGGAGAGAGAGAAAAGAGAGGGAGAGACAAGAAAGGGAGAGAGAAATACTGAGAGAAAAACTCGAGGGAGAAAGAGACAGAGGGATGGAGAGAAAGAGAGAGGGAGAAAGAAGAGAGAGACAGAGGGATGGAGAGAAAAGGGGAGAGAAGCGGGAGAGATGGAGGGAGGGGAAGAAAGAGGTGTAGAGGGAGGAGAGAGAAAAACTGAGAGAAAAACTTGAGGGTGAAAGAGAGGAGAGAAAGAGACAGACAGAGGGATGGAGAGAAAGAGGGAGAAACGGACAGAGGAAGAAAAGGGGAGGGAGAGAGAGAAGAGAGATGGAGACAGCGGGAGAAAGAGGAAAGAAGAGAGACAGACGGAGGGATGGAGAGAGGGAAGACAGGGATAGAGAGAGGGGGGAGACAGCGAGAGAAAAGAGTGAGAGAGACAGGAAAGAGAAGAAATACTGAGAGAAAGAGAGAGGGATGGAGGGAGGGAGAGAAAGAAGAGTGAGATGGAGGGATGAGAGAGAGGGAGGTGTAAAGGAAGAGAGGAAGGAGGAGAGAACTCAAGGGAGAGAGTCATAGTATTTGCAGTATTTGCAGTTGAAGAGTGGTTGTCATCATAAAAGTAGTATTTACAGTAGTATTATTTGCAGTAGTAGTAGTAGTACTACTTGCAGTATTTGTATAAAGTATTTCCCCTCCTCCTTTTCCTCTTCCTCCTCTTCTTCTTCTTTTCTTCTGTGGGCGTCTTCGCTCTGAATCTTTAAACCCAAAAAACCAAAAACCCGAAGCACAAAAGGATTTAACCCCAAAAGAACAGATGAAACGGAACGAGGGAGGAGAGAGAGAGAGAGAGAGAGAGAGAGAGAGAGAGAGAGAGAGAGAGAGAGACGAGGAAAAGGAGGGTGAGGAGAGCACGGAAGGAGAGAGGAGGGGAGAGGAGCAGTGCAGGGACCCCAGACTTCTTTCTTTCTTTCTTTCTGTCTTTCTTTTTTTGTCTGTCTGTCTTTCTCTTTCTTTCTTCCTCCTTTTCTCTCCTCCTCTATTCTCTCCGCTCCCACACCCACCTCCTCTATTCCTCTACCTCTCTCTCTCTTCTCCTCCCTCACTCCCCTCTTTTTTTAACCATCTTCTCTTTCCCCTTCTTCCTCACTCCCTTCATTCTCTCTCTTCCATCTTTTTCCCTCCCTCCTCCTTTGCTCTATCTCTCTTGGCGTCCGTTCCTCTCCCCCTCTCCTCCCTTCTCTCCTCTCCCTCCTTCCATTATTTCTCTCTAACTACACCCTGTTTCTCTATCCTATCCTCTCTTCTTCCCCTCCTTCTTGCTCTCTTTTCTCTCCCACCCCTCTCTCCTCTTTCCCTCTCTCATTCTTTCTCTTCTCTCTCCTCCCTTCACCTTTTCTCTTTTTCCCTCTCTCCCTCCTTCATTGGCCCCGCCTTCTTTCTCTCCCTCACTCGCTCTTATTCTCCTTCTCTTGTTCTTCCCTCCTTCTCTCTCTCTCTCTCTCTCTCCTTCTCTCCTCCGTCGTTCTTGAGGTCACCTGTCACTCAGCGCTCTGTCGTTCCGTGCACCTGACACATTTCCCATGGTGCTTTGCGGGAGGCGCCTGTCAACGCTTCATTGCTCCTGTCAGGACTCAAACTCAAACTCAGCGGAGGAAGAGAATTCTATCATTTCATCATTTTATCTTTTCATCATTTTATCTTTTCATAATTTTATCTTTTCTCTTGTCTGTTGTTATTTTCTTAAACACACAACAGTTTGTGTTTTTCCTGCTGCAGAAATAGAAATAAAGACACGGGGACATTTCTTGTATAAACTCAGACAAATCCATGTTTTTGTGTAAATCTGGAGTGAAACGTCGACACTCTGGAGTGAAACGTCCACACTCTGGGGTGAAACGTCGACACTCTGGGGTGAAACGTCCACACTCTGGAGTGAAACGTCGACACTCTGGAGTGAAACGTCTGGAGTGAAACGTCGACACTCTGGGGTGAAACGTCGACACTCTGGAGTGAAACGTCGACACTCTGGGGTGAAACGTCGACACTCTGGGGTGAAACGTCGACACTCTGGGGTGAAACGTCGACACTCTGGGGTGAAACATCCACACTCTGGAGTGAAACGTCCACACTCTGGAGTGAAACGTCGACACTCTGGGGTGAAACGTCGACACTCTGGGGTGAAACGTCGACACTCTGGGGTGAAACATCCACACTCTGGAGTGAAACGTCCACACTCTGGAGTGAAACGTCCTCTGAGTTTGTCAGATTGTGACGCCTGTCGTTGTTGTTGTTGTTGTTGACAGGTGGTGCGCCTGCCGGTGGAGAGTTGTGAACAGTACACTTCCTGTTCTGAGTGTTTAGGCTCCAGAGACCCTCACTGCGGCTGGTGTGTGCTGCACAACACGTAAGTCTATATGTGTGTGTGTGTGTGTGTGTGTGTGTGTGTGTGTGTGTATGTGTGTATATGTAAATGTGTATATTATATATATATGTGTATATATCATATATATATATATATATATATCATATTATATATATATATACATATACATACACATATGTGTGTGTGTAATATTACTATTGTCTGTGTGTATAAACAGTTCATTCGCTCACAGCTGCATTACAAACAGGAAGTGCTTCTCTCTCTCTCTCTCTCTCTCTCTCTCTCTCTCTCTCTCTCTCTCTCTCTCTCTCTCTCTCTCTCTCTCTCTCTCTCTCTCTCTCTCTCTCTCTCTCTCTCTCTCTCTCTCTCTCTCTCTCTCTCTGGAGCGTTGGATTTGTTCCAGACTCTAGAATCTCTCTATTAATTAAACTACAACCCCCATGATCCCCCTGGGCCCCGCGCCACACACTAACACGCACACACACACACTAACACACACACACTAACACACACACACACACACACTAACACACACACACTACACACACACTAACACACACACACTAACACACACACACACACTAACACACACACACACACTAACACACACACACACTAACACACACACACTAACACACACACACACTAACACGCACACACTAACACGCACACACTAACACGCACACACTAACACGCACACACACTAACACACACAACACACACGCACACACACGCTAACACACACACTAACACGCACACACGCTAACACACACACGCTAACGCACACACACACTAACACACACACACGCTAACACACACGCTAACACACACGCTAACATGCTAATGACATGCTAACAGAACAGAACACTTCCTCAACCAGGACTAAACCAGGTCTAAACCAGGTCTAAACCAGGACTAAACCAGGACTAAACCAGAACTAAACCGGGGTCTAAACCAGGGTCTAAACCAGGTCTAAACCAGGTCTAAACCAGCACTAAACCAGATCTAAACTGGGTCTAAACTGGGTCTAAACCAGGACTAAACCGGGACTAAAAGCTCTGAGATTTTTCAGGTCATCTTCATTAGTTCCTTGGATCCATGTTTTATTTTTCTCACGTTGTTGCCGTGGCGATGAAACACTCCGATCTTTCCGATGTTTGTCAACGTTTGTCCGATGCCGATTGCTGCTTTAATTAAAGGTTGTATAGAGGATTTTTTTAAGGGAAGAGAAATACAGCGACAGTCCTTGTGCGCGTTCAGAATTACTGTTGAAGTTTCCTGTCTAGAAGTAATTCAGCGACCGACGCGTCAGTTTTTAGACCCTTCGTCTGCTTCGGTCGCGCCATCGCTGGACGAGATCTCCAAGAATCACCTCAGTTTGGCTTTGCTACTTTTCCACTTCTCTTCTTTCAGCGACCTCAAAAACGGACTTTCTTTTGCGGCGAACCGGTCGTGGATTCTCGTCCGCCGTCGCGACAAACTTTGTGCGAAATGCGAGGAAGCGACAGGTCGAAAAAGCCTCTAAGAACCGCCGCGTAAACCACGTAATCCCCGCGCTCCGACGAATCAGTTACACTAGGGAGTTTGATTGACAACCTAACAGCCAATAGAAAATGAGGGAGCCTCGTTTTCTATTGGCTGATGTTTATCTGGCCTCAACACGTCCACAGTTGATAGATTTTTGTTCTTTTTTTTTTTTAATTACAAAGCTGCTGCGTCTCTGTAATGGTATTTTAATCTTTCACTGACAGTTTGAAAAAAAAAAAAAATCCTCCATACAACCTTTAAATCGTTCACGCTTTTCTTTTATGTTCATGTTGTTGTGTTTTTTGTGTGTGTGTGTTTTATTTATATTCTGGAGTTTTATTTCGGTTCTTGTTGTGTGTTTTTTGTGTTTTATTTATATTCTGGAGTTTTATTTCGGTTCTTGTTGTGTGTTTTTTGTGTTTTATTTATATTCTGGAGTTTTATTTCGGTTCTTGTTGTGTGTTTTTCAGCTGCTCTCGTCGAGATCGATGTGAACGAGCCTCAGAACCTCAGAGATTCACCTCAGACCAGAGACAGTGTGTGGAGCTGAGCGTCCAACCCAACAACGTGTCTGTCACCATGTCCCAGGTCCAGGTGAGGACCACACACACACACACACACACACATACTTGCATTTGTCACTAAGTGGGGACACCTGACAAATAGGTGTGTTCTGGGAACCACCCTTTCCCATCATGCTACAGGCTTCAAAAAAATCAGGGATGTTAGTAAAAAAATATCAAATCAGCCCATCACCTTGAATTGTGTATACACTCACAACAATGTAACCTGACCTGACATAATCAGCATATGTGGGGACAACCAATATATCGTTCAATTTGGGGACCTAATTTACATAGTACCTCCCACAATGACAAAACACCAGCACTCATGAGGACCGTATACTTCATGGGGACCAATCCAATTAGCATACACATACACACACAGGTTATTGGGTAAGGTGGGGACACAGCATTTCACTGACTTTGGACTTGGGCTATCAATGTTTGTATGGGAGTCACAGGCAGCCTGAGAGGCAAACCTACTCCAGTCTGTGTCTTTAAACCTGTCTGGAGTACTGAGTCTACCCCCACTGGCCACACTTTGATGATTTTCACTGATGGCTTCACATGGTTGATGTGTGGTGTGATAAAGACTAAGTATTGCCCTGGTATTCTTAAAACCACAAGAGAAGCAACTGCTGCCTAAACCACAGGTAAGACCTCGGCTCACAGAGTCTCCAGTTGTTACGAGTGGTTGTTTAAACGGCAAAGTGACAAGAAAGAATATTTGGAAAAGTTCTTTCGACATAGCAATTCCTCTGTAAGACCTATTAAGTAGAGAATAATACTTAAACTAACCTAAAAATTATATATGAGCAAAAGCCAAATCATCTCAGACGAAAATAGTGCAGAATTGACAAGGTATTACTCGCTGGTAATTCAACAATGTATGTATTGCCAATGCTGTATATCTTCTGTATATCATGTTTACATGTTCATAATACATCTGATATATAACTTCATATTTATTTTTATAGCACAACTGTTCTTATATATCGTTTGCTTTATATATCATACATTAGTCATAAAGCACACCTGCATACTTGCTGATAGTATATCATTCTAGTAGCACGACTGTATAATTGTTTATAAAACATCTGTTTATATCCCTCATGTATATTTGTACCTAATTCCCACCTGTTCATACAGCCCTATTTATTTGTATATATTCACTACAAACTAAACTGTAATATACTGCATATTTCTCTATATGCTGGTGGTTTAGCTCAACGTGGAATAATTACAAGGTAATTCAATCTTTAAATGTAATCCTAAAACCTTTATTGGAACAGTTTATGCATAAAGGTAATCTTAGTAGTTCAACTGGTAAAGCATACAGAACCAAAAGAGAATCGATGCAACTTCACTGCATAATATTAAATATATGGTATAATACAGATATAAACAAAATAGCATTATTAAATGCACTGTGCTGCAACGTGAAGGTCAGAAAAATTACCACATTTTCTGCACTATAGGGCGCACTTAAAAGCTTTTAATTTAATCCAAAAAAAATATATAACGATATATATGAATTTATTGGAGTGTCTTAGTACGACTTAAGTAAACTACAAAGCCGCTCCACTTGCAGCATTACGGCTCTCGTCATCAGGAGCATCAGGAGTAATACAGACTGTGATTCCTTTTAATATCAAAATGCACCTGTCAAGAGACACGCTCACAACGCCCACTTTAAACTCAAGGCTGTACTAAAGTGAAAGTGTGAACTGCATGGGAGCAGTGGATGAGACACACATTCACCAAGACGGCACCGAGCGACTTACGCCACGATCTGCCAATGGATCGTGGACACCTGCGCTAAGGATCAGTATCAACTGTGGTCCAAGCTTTCACAAAGACCAGAATCATCACTGAACTGAACTCCAGGGAACAGTAACCACACTGACTCGGATAATGACGAGAGGGATGCGGGCGTGCTGAACAACTGAACAATTTGAAAAATTATGACTTGTGAATACTCTAACAATTTAGCGTCTCAGACAGTTTTTTTTTTACACATTACAACTGAACAAAGTTGAGAGTGAACGTGTTAAATACAGTTTGACTGACTTATCTAACTGTTGTGTTTTGTTTAATGCGCCTTATATTCCGGTGCAGTTTAAATGTGAAAAAAGTTCAAAAATAGACCATTCAATGACGCGCCTTATAATCCAGAGCCCCTATAGTGCGGGAAATATGGTAAAACTAAATTTTGTTGTTGACGAAATACTTTACGGCTCGCCAGTCATGGGTTTGAGACCGTTCTGGTTCTACCTGTAGCATTTTTTTCACAGTCTTGTTTTCCTG